GTTTCAGGCTCATTTCATAAATGTTTCATAAGATTTTATACAACATTACAAATGTTTCAATGTAACATTTTTGAAATATTTCAGAATTGTGTTTGTGCTGTATGGGTAACAGGTTAATCCGTGTTTTTTTTGAAATTGGGTTTTTTAATTGTTCTATTCTTTGTGTTATTTATAAATGTGATTAATTCATTTTCTCTTTAGAAAAATTCTTTCCGAAACCAATAAACTAAGTAAAAGGGAAATACTTTGATTTGTTATGTCAATATTTGATCCTTTAGGTTTTTTTAGCTCCAATAATAATTCAGGCACACATTCTAATGCAAGAAGTGTAGAAAGTGTCTATAGATTGCGATACATCAATTCTGATGATATTTTCGTTAAATGGAAAAAGCAGTTGTTAGATCTCCAAGAGTTAATGCCTGTTAAGATCCCTAGATTCTATTTCCCATCTCTTTCATATGTTTCTGAGGTTACTCTTCATATACTTTCCGACGCTAGACAAAAAGCATACATTGTTTCTGGCTCCCCAAAAAATAAATAAGTTTCTTTCATTAGCTCAAAATTCAAAGTTGTTCCCGTAAAACAACAAACTACCCCAAAGCTAGAACTTCAGGGTTCTGTTTTCAGTTGCAGGTTAGGCAAAGCGAGATGTAATGAAAACGAATACAAAATCTACCAGGTTTTTTATTGGATGGATTCCATGAGTGTTTTAAAACAAATTTGGTTTCAATCGCGACGATTTCCAAGCTTTGTAGGATAGGGAAAATTCAAGAGGAAACAGATAACTCTCAATGGCGATGGGTTCCTTTCGAATTGAACGTAGCCGATAAAGCCACGAAAGAAGGTAAAAATTCTGATCTGGATATCTGTAACGTGTGGAGGGTGGGTTATACCCCCCCCCCCCCCCCACGGGACTTAGGCCCATTATGCATCCTCCTAAGATGATAGGCACCTCCTAGCTCGTGAGCTAGCCTACAGATTTAATGAAGTTGAAAACGTCGCCAAGAGGTGCTTCTCTTATATCGGCCGGTGTTAGCCGATACTCGCCGAACACAAATCTTCTAATAAATGAGAGCGTCGAGCAATCGTAAAGGATATGCTTGATGGTCTCATTTTTTTGTTCGCACCCTCTCTAAGTGCAGATTCTTACAGCCCCATGATATGGAGATGCTTCCGTACTTGTCAATGACCAGTCAGAATGCCTGTGACTAGGCGCAGATTCTGTCTAGTCATAGTCAAGTATTTGTTTGCTGCAGTGTTGTCAGAATAACTTAAGAGCTCCCTGGCAACTCTGCAGTTTCTTGTTTCATCCCATCTTTCCTTAAATTTCACAAGGGAATGTTCTTTAATTAGGTCTGTCACTACCGATTTTGTCAGGCCAATAGAAGGGCCAGGTCCAAAAAGTATTTGGTTGGCTGCTTTCTTTTCTAGTGAATCAGCAAGACGGTTACCTTTCGATATGGCGTGACCTTTGATCCATCTTAAGGTGACCACATTGTTGATGGATACTTCGGCCAAAGCTTCGTGACATTCTAATACTAACCCTGAATAAATTCGTGGTCTGTTCAGGGTGAGTAGTGCTTGTCTGCTATCTGTGTAGATGAGCATGTTCGTTCCAGTGATATTATTTCTGGTTATTTCTTTTGCTGCTATGAGAATCCCCGTTAGCTCTGTTTGAACTACACTGGCACTATTGCTCACAGCCCATTTTATGTTTAGGTTTAAGAATCTGGAGTATTTTCCACATCCTGAGCCTTGTTTTGTTTTAGAACCGTCGGTGTAGATATGAATCGTACCTGCCACTTCTGGCTCCTCTATTCTATTATAACCTTATATGGCTTATGGAAGATATAACTCGGTGAGATGGAGTCCATGTTCGCTTGAAGCAGTGGGAGCGTATCGAGCGCCTCCTGCCAAAAGTAACGTCTCGCCTCACCAGATCCTACATCAGGTTCTATTCCAACCGTGCAGAGGCGTGTCATTGTCGTCAAAGCAACCTCCTTGATGTAAATATCAAGGGAACTGAGACTAAGAATGACTTCCATCGCTCTGGTCAGTGTTGTTTTCATGGCTCCTGTTTGTTGAGACGTGCTGTTCTTTGAATTTGTTCTAGTTTACGGATAACTGTTAATTTTTGGGTTTTTGGTAACCAGACAACTGCACCGTATGTTAGCATAGGTCTTATGATAGCCGTGTAAGTCTATGCGAAACCCCAGGTGCGCCGCACGGTTCGGCGGCATTGTTCATAAGCAATATATACTCTTTTAACTCTGTTTTCTAAATGCGAGTTCCATGTTAACTTGCTGTCAAACGTGAGACCGAGGTACTTCACCTTTGTTGCAAAGTTTAGTTTTGTGTTTAGGAGTTCTTGAGGTTTTAATTCCATTTTCATCCTTTCCCTTGTGAAAAGGACCATTTCTGTCTTCTTAGGATTGATAGACAGTGAATGGTCCTTGCACCACTGTTCTATAATTTTTAGAGCTACTTGCATTCTTTCGCAGAGTATGTTCTCAAAATTCCCTGTTTGCAGAATGAACAGGTCATCTGCATATGCTACTGTGTAGTGACTGTCATTATTGAGGCGGCTGATGATGAGGGTGTCGAGGACCATATTACACAGTAGAGGTGACAGCACCCTTCCCTGTGGACATCCCCTCACAACCAAGCCTCTTATATTCACATCTTCTACACTTATGTTTACTGCTCGCTTTGAGAGCATGTTATGTATCCACCCACTAACCATTTGTGGAACATTCCTGTTGGTTAGTGAGTGTATTATCTTTGGGAAGGTGGTTTTATCAAAAGCACCTTCTATGTCTATGAAAACACCCAAAGCGGACTTCTTATTGTCCAAGGATCTTTTTAGCCGACCAGCAACTAGATGAAGGGTTGAATCAGTAGATCTGCCTGAGGTGTATGTATGTTGGTTTGAGTGTAGTGGTGTTGTTGTAATCACCGCATCCCTTATGTACCTTTCGCATAGCCTTTCCAATGTCTTCATGGAAAACGATGTCATCAGACTAATTGGTCGGTAAGTTTTTGGGACAGTGTAATCTATCCTTCATCCAGGTTTGGGTATAAATACCACTTTTACCTCTCTCCATTTTTTGGGGATGTACTTCAGATCTGGATATTTGGCTGTAAGGTCCAGAATTTCTCAGATTATCAGAAGATCTTTGGCCTAGAAAACCTGAATTAAAATTCGAAGATGTGGTATGTGTTTTCTATGTTTATTTTTAGTTTTGTAATAATTATGTAATATGTTTTTACTTACAATATCACTAAACATTATTACTATTAAAAAGTACTGACACAATCTTTGTGTTGCCTGATGTAAATAGATTCTCCAACTGGTCTCGTTTAATTCGTTCCACAAGGTTGATCTTAAAATTTAAAGATTCTCTACTTTCAAAGTCTGTAAAATCTAAAAAAAAAAGTGTAAAACAATTCCTTAATTCTTGATATAAAATTTATAAATGAAGCATCTGTTTTGTGGATAAAATGGAGCCGGTACAATTCCTATGTTCTTTTCAAAAATAAATATATCCCTAAATCTAGTCGTCTGTTCAAATTATCCCCATTTATAGACAGGATGGAATTCTTAGACTCAGTAGTTGGTTCCCAGTATCAGAAATTTATCATGATTCCCGATTTCCTATTTTTGACGCGAAAAACAAGTATACAGAATTGCTTATTGATTACTACCATAAACAAGCAGGCCATGTTGGTACAATAAATAACCTATGAACGAAATTCTGGATTTTAGACACCCGTTCAGCTGTGAAGAAAGGGGCCAACTAGCGCCTATGCACTATACAGGGTGATTCATAACTATTGGGACATAGGTTAAGAGCAGGTTATTTGGACCAAAATATGGCGATAGGGCCAAATATACCTTATTAAAATATTGCTGTGGAATAAGATAACAATTCATAAATATACAGTGACATTATCAGAGAAAAAACAAAAAAAAATCAACTTTAAAGGCCCTGTATCTTATTCCACAGCAATATTTTATTAAGGTATACTTAGTCCTATGGCCATAATGTCCCAATAGTTATGAAATCAATCATCCAATATATACTATCTTTTCACCTTGATATACAAACATCTTTCATATTTCGATAAATTGATAACCTTCATTTTTGTAAGTCTAGTAAAAGGTAAAGATTAAGCTCACCAGTGGACTAACTGGCAAGTTGCGGTTGCCAGGAGCCGAAAATATTTATTTGTCAGGCATCTTATAAGTATATTTTATCTATGATGACACTCGAACTTTTAGATCCCACAGTTATCATACTCTACTTTAGAAACATTTTTTGGGATTACTATTTGTATTTTTTTATTTTCTGTAAATAAATTGAAGGTCTGCCGAAATAATCCTATACAGGGTGAGTCGAGAGGAGCGCACCAAACTCTAGGAGTATATTATACACGTGAAAATAATGTAAAAAAACTCACATGTTCTTATCCGATTTTCATTTGTTTTCAAGTTATAGCATATTAACACAAATTCACAAATAAAAATTCTCTTATTCTAAATTTGAATAAGTATCTGGCATTTTGCAACACTAACAATCACATAAATTCGAAATTAAACGTTCAGTTACTGTTCACTGTACACTGACAGTTCATCAAAACGTCAGAATTATCAAATGCCTTTGAGCCTTGAACATATGGCATACTTTGATAATGTTAAAATTCAGAAGTGGAAAGCTAGATGAACATTTTTAATTACGCTATAACTTGAAAACAAATGAAAATCGGATAAGCACATATGAGTTTTTTTACATTATTTTCACGTGTATAATATACTTCTAGAGTTTGGTGCGCTCCTCCCGACTCACCCTGTATAATGGGCTGCTTTGAATTCTTCTGGAAGCCGGAAGCCATGATTCCCATATATTTTTTACCGTCTCCTTACCCTTGAATTACGAATATGGTGCCCCTAGGCAAATTATATTCGGGTTCATCCCCAGAAAAAAAAAAAAAGAAATGATTATAGGTATCTATAATTTATTTTTTTGGTACAATAAAAACTTGACGACATACGGTGCCACTAACTCTGGACTATCATTGTGGACGTCGTGATTTCCTTCGGCGTATTTTATTCTGACGTTTCTTCTCCTTTTTAAAAATTGGATAATCGAACTCAAAAAGACCTGTTGGGCTGTGGATTCTGAGCCCAAAACTATAAGAACTGGACAACGTACTGGATGAACTTTTAACATTTCTATCGTGCATCTGAAATACAATTTATTAGAAAAATTGAATTCTGGAGACCCACCAATTCTAAACTAGAAGCTTTCACCCAGTAAAATAAGATATTTTGCTTGGAGAAGTTTGGACCGAAATTAAAATTAAGGACTGAACAGAAATGTTTAAAGTTTTAACCTACCTAATATCTCTTAGAGGGTTTATGGCATTCTTCAATCTTTGATCCACTGTAAATATGAATTTTCCGTCCTCCGTGGGAGCTATAGCTCTTTCCAATAGAGCCTTCGCTGCTTCTAGTTTTATAGGTGCATAACTTCTTCCGTTCCATAACCTATCTAAAGCTTCTTCATGGGTGTAACTTGGCGGTTTCTTTTTTTCTAACAATTTTTTCTCTATATTTATATGCGCATCTACTGATCTCGACAGGTAATGCTTAAAATTCTTTACCGCTATTGGAAACGTAATTATAGTGTCGAGCATAATCAGTTTCTCAATGCATTCTGGATAGAGCTGAGCAAATATAAAACCTATCTGTCCTCCGTAACTGTGAGCCATTATTATAAACTTCTTCTGGAAATATTTGAAGATTATCCTGTAGACTAGAACATAGTTTATGGTATGTATAGGTAAATGGGGAGGGAAATGTGAAGATCTGCCGTGTCCTGGTAAATCTATACATACGTAGTAAAATGAATTTGGTAAGTAGGGTATTAAGCGGTTGAAGGTACCAGCATTGTCCATTATACCATGAACGCATACAATCAGAGGATCTTGTGCTTCACCCCAGGTTCTTGCTGAAAAATTAAAATTCCTCTATTCAATAAAATTTATTTTGAAATACTTATGTAGGTAGTTCGACGAAATTTCTGGTCAACATATAATTCTATTTTTTACAGATTTAACAAAAAATGGTTGATTAATGAGCTATAAGTAGTAGTACATAAGAAACTTTATTGTGACTGCGGTGGCCGAAGAGCAAATTATTAAAGTTTAAAATTGTGACATGTACGCAACCCACTGGTGTTACAGAAAGAGGAGACAATATTGAAAACAAAAATATATTATTTTTACTAGTGTCGTTTTATCGAATCGATCTTATGTACTTTATGTGCCATAGAAAAATTAAAAGAATATAAAATTACAAAAACAGTTAATTTGCTTATTACAAAATAAAATTATCATCTAGGCATATAAAACTACAAAAGGGGTTTACTTATTATAATAAAAAATCAAAGGCTGTAGCAAAATTACCATTGAAACATATAAAAGTACAAAAACCACTTATTACAAGAGAAAATCAAAGGCCATAGCAAAATTGTACAAAAATTGGTTGGGTGCTGAATTAAATGAGTAAAACTTGAATTTTTATGTTAAGAAACGCCGACAACAACAAAGATTGCAAATACCTTTCAGACAAGGTGCAGGGAAGGAAAAAAATTTAACAGCTATATCAACAATAGTGTTATTAATATTTTATTGCAGAGCCATTGGCTACCACACCACTTTCCAGTCTTCTTAGCATGGACAAAATTAAATAGTGCATGTCGTAGGAATCTATGAGCTCTTTCTAAAACATTTTCATTCACTTCCCATAATTGACCGCAGTTGTCGGCCTAAAGTTTCTTTATTATATCTTTCTGACTATGAAGCCCCTTAAATTTTCAATTGGATTCAAGTCAGGACATTTACTAACCATTTTTTCTTATTTTTATCATCCCATTTTTTTGCAATATCTTATATATCGTACAATAGCAAGTATCATTCTTATCATCTAGGAAACCACCTAGTGGTAGTTTTCTTTAATAGTATAATTAGTATCTAATTAAGTTTTAACTACGGGATCTACAAGAACTAAAATACAATGCATAAAATCTATTAGTAAGGTCATATAATGTAATGTCGCGTAAGTCTTTGCTGTGTGATTGGTTGTATCATTAGTTTTAGTGCAAGTCTGTTTGGGTGCGAACTTTTAGAATAATTTATGGAATATATTTTTTATTTCTGATTTCACCGGTTTAATTTGGAGATCACGTGCTATAATACAGTTTGGAATGAACCACGGGGCAACTACAATAGTTCGTAGCACTTTGGATTGGAATCTTTCTAATATATTAATGTTTGAAATGGATGCTGTACCCCAAAGTTGAATGCCGTAGGTCCATATAGGCTTGACGATCGCTTTATAGACCAATAGTTTATTTATTGATAGTTGAGATTGCTTACCAATCATCCAATATATTTGTCGAAATTTGAGACCTAGTTGCTTCCTTTTTCTAAAGATATGTTTGCTTCACGTCAATCGTTTTTCGAGCATTCCAATGTATTTTTCTTCATCGCGATGGGGCAATTGGTGGTTATTTAGTGTAACTGGAGGACAGTTTCCTCTTGTTCGTAAAAGTCGATGCGCCATTTGTTTAGCCACTGTTCTATTTTATAAAAGTGGATTTGTATCATTTCTGAAGCGAGATTATTCTCCCTGCCATGGCCACAAAACATTTATGTTGTTGTTATTGACCCACTCTCTTTCTATTTCAGCAGTATGAACCGAACAATTACCCTGTTGTAAAAATCAGTTATTATTATCAACATTTACCGAGTATACAAAACTGATTTCTTAGATGTTAAAAGATAAAATTGCTAGGAAAAACTTCTCTTGTTGATGGTAACACCACGTTGTCTAAGGTGTTTACGTAATGCTCGGCTGATAATCGCTCATCAATTTGCCAGCACATTCCAGGAACGTTAACACTTATTCACGCCAAACATTGACGGAAAAGCCCCCTATTAATAGTACCCAAAGTATAATTCTCTTGGAATCTTGAGTTTCTACGAAGATAAACTCGTAGTCTTCCGCTGTTAGAAAATTGGAACGTCTTTTCATCGGAGAATACCACGTTGTTTCAAAATTCCAACCCATGCTTATTTTCAGCAGTTAAAAAAAAATTGCGGCATCAGCGCAGTTTTTTAAGCCAACTTGTTTTAAACGCATCTATTCTACAAAAACATTTGTCTTCATTTTAATTTACCTTGACTGAAAGGTTTTATCAGCGTTTCTTAACACGCAAAATATGTGACTTTTAATGACATTTAAGCGTGTGAATTTACCGCCTTTGCAGATTCCTTTAGTGATCGAAATCGAGAATGACTATTCCTTGCTGATGAGTCCTAATTAGGACAAAACCCGTCGTCCAAGAATAACGTTCTCTCTGGTAAGCAAGATCACAGTTTAAATGTTCGAATATTAATTTTTAATCTTTGTTTCTCTTTAGATATAATTCAATGTCTGTTGCGGAATTAGCCAAAGGGGTAGTTGTTTTCCGAAGGGAAACGGTCGCTTGTTTTATTTTATAACACATGGCATAGAGAATTTATTGTTTTCATTTATTTTACGTTTTGGTCACATTTAAGTTTGAATTTATTTTCCTTTTTTAATAAAATATTTGACTAGATGTTTCTGATAATAGTTTCAAATTTACTTAAGAATATGCTCATAATCTCTAAATTATTTTGATTGATGATTCTTAATGTACGCTCAAGTGCAAGCCGATATTTCAAATACATTTGAATTCCTTAGTTTTGTAGTTTTTATATGAAATAAAATTACGAATTTTTATGGTTATTAGTTCTATTGCGTAATTAAATCCTTAATATTTTCGAATTATGTTTAAATGTGTTAGTCCTATCCTGTACAGTTCAATATGCAATCAATACGCAAGCGCGTGGGTCGCTTTTTTTAAAGATGACCACCTTCAATTCTACGTGCCCACATACTTTGATTTTCTTTTACTATACGGATAATGGTCGCACTGCGCAGCTTTCTGAGTGCCTTTTAAAAGGAGATAGAAAACTCCGCCATTTTGATGCCTTATTACGTGTTGCCTACATCTTGGCGCAATATTTTTAATAGATGCGTTTTAATCATCCGCTTCTGCTTCGGAATTGTCGGTTTTATTGTTTTAATCTGACAGGTTTAAACGACTAAACCGACAATTCCGGAAGCAGAAGCGGATGATTAAAACGCACCTGATATTTTGCTTGCTGCTGTCAGTGAATATTATTTGTGGAGTCACAGTTTATTGCTAAAGAATCAGTTAGCTCACTCGGACCAGTTGAAAGTTCCAAAATAACATCCACTCCAGGGATACAAATTCAGGATACGCAGAAGACTGCCGTTTTAATATAGGCCGTTGTCATATATTGTATTATCCGAGTTGCGCAGTGTATAAACTGAAACATTGAGATCAAAAGTGCCGGCGCAGAGTGAGCGATCTGATTCTTTAGCTATAAACTGTGACATAGGAATCAAAATGGCCGCGCTCTATGTTGGGCGCGTCGGACCTCTCTCTTGCACCGTATAGTAAAGAAAATCTAAGTATGTGTACGTGCCGGATAGCACGATGAAAATTACATTTCCTATCTCCTCTATCCAAGTCTGTGGGTTTTTTCGATTAGATGTGACAACTGACAGCTGGATTGCGGAAATTAAGCAGAATTAGGGGTCTATTCTGTAAAAATTCCTTTATATTTGAATGGCCGTTAAAATATTGGAGGCCTTTAAAAATATTTTCGTATTTACTAAATTACTTCTCTCATTATTTAAACGGATTCTTTTAAAATACATTAGAGGACTATTTTGGGAGGAGTTAATTAATTATTGTTCTATTGTGGGAAAAACCGAAAAAAATGGGCTTTTAAAAATAAATACTTTCAAATTAAGGCATATAGATACATTCAAATAAAATTAAAAACACAAATTTTAATCCCAAATCTCAACTGTTATTTATTTCATTGGTCAACCATAAATAAACCGAATCAAACACAAGGCGTTCAAGTTCAAGGTCGCATCATTGAAACAGCGATTCCAAACAAACGTATGGTGATTTAGTTTTATGCAAGTAATATTGAACAAAAATACAATGACTAAAACTAACCTGAAACTATCTACCAATTACGAGAAAACAAATGTTTTAAAAATATTCGCCTTCTAGGTATATTTGGTAACTTTGTTACCATTTGTAATTATTCCATTGGCTACTTAAGGGTGCGAATAATAAACATTATTAGTCTTTTAGTGCCAATTTGCTTCTAATTAAACGAATAAATGAAAGTTTTCTTAGGACCGATTCCACCGTTGTGTTAAACGAAGTTTAAAATGACATTTTTACATTAACAATGTCATTTTAATCTCCGTTTAAAACAACGGTGGAATCGGTCCTTAGTGAATAACATTACAAATTCCGATGCGTTGTTATAGCTAATTTGGGGATATTGGAGTGTTATTTTCAGGAAAATAAGTTAGGGCATACAGAAATAAACGGGAGTTTTTAGAGTATAATTAGAATTACATTTTCATGCGACTGAAAGGATTGTGTAAGCAACACTAGGTTATTAAAAATGATTTTATTTAAAATTTGGATTACAATTTTAATCAATTTTTGGGTTTCATACATAAATTAACATAGTTGATTATAAATTTCCTTTTTGAAATAATAAGAATTTACTCACTAAAGGTGCTACTCTTTCTGGATAATCATTGTGAACGTCATGGTTACCATCCACTTCTACCACCTTAATATTTTTACTTTTCTTGAAAAACTTAATAACCGAGTCCATAATTGTTAACTGGAATCCGTTTTCCTTTCCTAAAACGATCAATATCGGGCATTTGACTGGGTTTTTCGTAACGCTTTCAATAAAATATCGATTATCTTTCAAAGGATTGACATAGTTTTTTATCCTTTGGTCTAAGGTAAACTTATAGAGTTGACCTACTGGTTCTATTGCTCTTTTTAAC